TGTGCAATTTCAGGACTGCAAACTGTTAGATCTATAGCGCTAAGTTTAAGAGAGCGGATATTTAGGAAGGTACCTGATCCTGAGTTCAAAACCACCAGGTTATATTCGTTGATGATATCTTCTATAAGGCGGCCTCGCATATCAAGTTTCTCTGATCCCCATAATGGGTTATGGGCGTTGAAGTCGCCCAGTATGACACAAGGTGTAGGCAACTGAGAAAAAAGTTGCCGCATTTGTCTTGATTCCCAGCTGAAGTCTGGGAGATAGATGTTGCATATAGTTAGTTTAACTGGCTGGAAGATTTGTACTACGATTGCTTGCAATTGTGAGTCAACCATGATTTCATTAGATGGGATATCTTCTTTTATAAGGGTCGCGACGCCGCCTTTGGCACGAATATTCCTAATGCCATTTTTCCTGTAACATGTATATCCACGTAGGTTTATGCTGTCTGAATCTGCTAGATGCGTTTCTTGAAGGCATGCACAAATTGGTGCCTCATTTAACAGAAGTGATTTCAATTCTGGGTGGTGCGTTTTATATCCATTAATATTCCATTGCACTATAGAACACATTGTGTGAAAAATAAGTGTAACTATAAGTAAAAGGTGTATATATATATACGAGTATAAAAAGATATAAATATAACTATGTATAAAAAATATGGATAAAAAATGCATTTTGCAAAGTAATATCACAGAAGTCATCGTTACGTAATGCTAGTTGAGATCAATTACATCGAACTAATCGTCTTATCATCTGGAGGCTTTCTGGGTTTTCCCTTCGGCCATCCCTTTTTTTTCTTAGCAAGTGAGGATGTTCCGCTGGCTTGTGACGAAAAGCTTTCGTCAGTATCGTCTGCGGGATCATCCGCATTATCCTTTTGGATAACAGTACGTTTCCTCTTTTCTGAAAGAGATGGTTGAGTAGACGTATCCGATAGGTATTGGTTAGGAGGAGGTAGATTTAAAGGTGTCAATGTCCGTACTGGTCTATTTACAAATTTATCAAAGGTTTGTTTAATCTGTGTTTCTATCGTTTTTGAAAGCAGAGGAAGAAGTTCTTCAACAAGTTTATTAACTGTAGCACTTGGGGTAGCGGTAACTTGAGCGTATGACACCCGGGGAGATGAGCTAATTACTTTCCTTTTTGCCTCCAGATAACTAATTTTTTCTAGCGTCCTCACTCTTTGGATGGCAACTTCTTCCTTCATCCGCGGACATTCTCTAGAATCAGCAGCATGCTGTCCTTCACAGTTGATACATTTCTTATGTTCATTGCACGGCTCTCCTGGGTGATTGGGTTGACCACAAGTACACATTTCGGTATTAGGACATTTCTGGGATGTATGACCAAATTTCTGGCATTTGAAACACCGCAAAGGGCTTGGGTAGTAAGGGCGAACATCAAGGTGGTAGAAGGCAGCTTTAATTTTATTAGGTAGATTGGGTCTATCAAAAGTGAGAATGAGATTTGGTGTTTCTATAAGTTCCTCACCTCTTCTACGCATCATACGTTTTACGTCAATAACTCCTTCTGTTTTCAGGCCGTCCAATATTTCCTCCAAAGTGGAGTTCAAAAGATCAGCACAAGTAATAATTCCTTTGGAGTAATTAAGCGTGGAATGCGCTTTAACTACAACATTATAATCTCCAACTCTTTGTGTTTGCAAAAGTCTGTTTGCCTGGGTTGCGGTACTGGTTTCCAACAGTAGCCCAGATTTGATTTTCTTTATTAATTTCAGGTTCCCAGCAATTCCAAATAATGTTCTTGACACAACAAAGGGGCTTACTTTATCAAAGTTACCCCCATCAATCCGTTCGACCACCAGAAACCGGGGGATGGTTCCCTCCTTTCTCTGGCTGGCCGTGGCCGCTTGCGCGGTAGCTTTCCCATTTCTGGGTGGGTTTTTGGTTTGTATTTCATCCATGCGAATTTCAAAATGCTTCACCTTCCCAGCTCCCCACCCGCCACGGAGTCCTCATTGGGGATGCCATGCCTGCAAACATAGTTCGGGACATGGACACCAGGGCTGCTGAAGGAAAGTATAGTCTTCGCATTGCGGTCCGGCATGGCCAAGGGTAGAAATAATCCACACCTGTCTGCTTTCTTCGCAATGCGAAGGCTCGCCCAGCCAGCCCTCTGACGGGATGGCACAGCCGATTGACCGACGCTGGGCTAGGCGCGGCCGCCCTTCTAGACTGACCGCCGGACCAAAGTGGCGTGTTGCCCCCCTGACTGGTAGGCTCAACCACCAGGATTCCATTGGCCAGCTTACGGGTCGCCGGGCACGGCACAAACACCCGGGAGGCTAAGAGGAAGCCCCACGCGCCGCCTCAACGCATGGAGTAAGGAAAGGACAAGGAAAGTCGTGAGGGCAGCGGACAGCTGCACAGGATATAATAAAAGGAGAAGGATGGGAGAAAGGGGGAAGGAAAAGCCCAGGGTTTGGCAGAATGAATAAGACTACCAAACCCCGAACTCCCTGCCTGGGGCCGTGGGGGCGACGCTCCCCATGTATCTTCCCTTGAAACCGGATCAAAGATCCAGCTTCAAAAGTAGATACCCCCTGCGGGGCCTTATTATATATTATTAATATTATTATTATTATTATTATTATTATATTATTTTTTATTATATAGTTATTATTATATATTATTAAATTATATTATTATTGATATTATATTATTATTATTAATATTATATTATTATTACTATTATTATTATTATAATAATACTAATTATTATTATTATTATTTAATATAATAAAATAATTATTATTATTAATATTATTATTAGATTATATTATATTTTATTATTATTACTATTATATTTATTATCTTTTCTTTTATTTATTATTATTATTATTATATATTATTTTTTTTTTATTTTTATTATTAATATTCTTATTATTATTATTGATTATTATTATTGCTTACTATTTTTTTTTTTTTTTTTTTTTTTTTTGCCCACAGCGGCATCGGCTACTATGGCCATAGCCGCTTCCCTCCTGCCCATACGGTCAATTGCCACTTTCACCACAGGGGTAGATCTGGGTGACTCAGATGTCATGTAAGTAGCTCAGATTTCAATACACAAAAAAAAAAAAGACAAGAACAAAAAAAAATATCTACACATGTATACGCACACACATATTAATCTTATACACAGACATATAATTAACTTAGTCCAGACAAGGACACTAATAAAATAAGTATACATGATCGTGGATACACAAGCATTTAATTACATATCCGACGTTAGTACTTCTTAATCAATCATAGATCATCAGTTTACGTATATGTATTTAGTAGGATCCTACGTAATTGCACTATATTTTTCTAAAAAGTTTGGTAGATTTAAGAAAATCAAGTGTAGAACCTATGTTGGCAGTAGTGAGAAAGCAACTTTCTAAGTCCAGAGCTAGGTTATGTGCTGTTCTAGCAGCTAGGTATAAAGGACACTTAAACAGTATATGCTTCCATGAGAGCAATTTATTACATGTTTCACATCTTGGTGGTGGATTACCTAATAGCATATGGGAGTGAGTAAGAAATGTGTGCCCTATTCTCATTCTCGTAACTACTACTTGTTCTCTACGTGTCATATGTGGAAGGCTCCATTTTTTTATGCTTGGCTTGAACGTTTTCAAAAATTTATTCGAGAGGTTCCATTCTTCCTGCCATGAGTGGAGGACATTTTCCTTCATAGCTTCTTTAGCATCTTCTAGCCGAAGTGGTACACCTGTTACGTCCAATAAAATTGCTTGGCGTGCTGTTTGATCAGCCAGTTCATTTCCATGAATTCCAGAGTGCCCTGGGCTCCAGATGAAAGTAACGTGTTTATTTTCTTGATACAACTTATGGTGGAGACTCAACGTCTTTATGAGGAGAGGATCTGTTGAGTACTTGTGTTTGATAGCCAATATGGCATTGAGAGAGTCGCTGCAGATAAGGTACTTACCTCCTGCTAAACCTTTTATATAGTTAAGAGCCTGAAAGATGGCGAAAAGTTCGGCGAAGTATATAGAACATGACGAGTTTAAACTCCATCCACGACAAAATCCTTCAAAGGCTATGGCACAACCAACTCCCTCAGCAGTCTTCGATCCATCAGTATAAATAATCTTGCATGGTTGGTATTTTGCAATAATGTTCAAAAAAGCTCGATTTATAGCCTCATTACAAATTGTCCCTTTTTTGTATCGAGTCATTTCGGTATCGGTCAAAGGTGTTGTTAATGTCCATGGTGGTAGATCAGGTAACATCAAGTTATCCACATCTGGCAGATCGATACCTAGGGCCGCTAGTATTTCATTGACCCGGATTCCAAAGGGGCGGGTGGCGGTTGGTCTGTCATGGAAGAGTTCTTCCGTTTCCTCATTAAAAATGATAGAGTTATTGAGATGCAGAGGCTGTGCTGCAATTTTTATTGCATAGTTGAGGCTAAGTTGCTGTATTCTGTATTTCAGAGGTGGCATTCCAGCTTCACAGTATATTGAATCTGAAGGGCTTGTCCTAAAGGCACCAATACATCGTCTTAGACCATCTCTATGAAGTATTTCCAGTTTCGCAATATGAGACTTACGTGCTGATGCAAACACAATTAGACCATACTCAATTTTCGAAAGGACCAAAGATTGATATAAATTCAGAAGGACTTCCCGACTGGCTCCCCACTGGATGTTAGAGATACATTTGATAATGTTCATGGACTTCTTGCACCTAACAAGGATTTTTTCAATCTGAGGACCCCAGTGAAGTTTTTGGTCGAACGTTAGCCCCAGAAGATCAAGAGTATCTTTACACTGTATCAGATGTCCATTTAGTGACAGTCGAGGATTAGTGTGTGGAGTTCTCAGCCTACAAAAGTCTATACAGGCCGTTTTTACGGGGGAGAATTGAAAACCGAGACTCTCAGCGGTAGTCGTAAGATGATTTATTGCTGCTTGTAGAGTTTCCTCGATTTCTATTAGGTCCTTTGCAGAGAAGAATATAGTGAGGTCGTCCACATATAGACATTTGCCTATATGAGGTTCAATCGACTCAACAAGGGGATTCACAGCTATTATAAAGAGTGTCACACTTAGCGTCGATCCTTGAGGGATGCCGTTTTCCTGTGTATAGGCATGTGAGAGCTCATTTCCTATGCGAACTTTGAACAAACGGTCCTCCATGAAATTTGATATGAGAGTTAATAGGTTGCCTCTGAGTCCCCAAGAGTATAGGGTCTTCAGAATTCCGTGCCTCCATGTTCGATCATATGCCCTTTCTAAATCGAAAGAGACTGCCACCATGTGATTTCGGTTAGCAAAACTTGTCTGAATAGCTGATTCAAAGTAGATTAACTGGTCAATAGTGGATCGGTGACGCCGAAAGCCCATTTGATGATTTGAAAGTAAATTCCGTGCTTCAAGGAACCATACTAATCTCCTATTTGCCATTTTTTCAAATATTTTGCTTGGGCAACATGTTAAAGATATAGGGCGATAGCTGCCAGGGTTCTTTGGATCTTTATTAGGTTTTAATACAGGAATGATCACAGCCTCGTGCCATTGTTGGGGGTATATACCCTCTGCCCAAATTTTGTTATAAAGAGTTAGCAAATTCATCTTTCCTGTTGCAGGTAAGTGTCTAATCATTTCATAGTGTATAGAATCTGGCCCTGGAGCAGAGTTGTGGACCTCACTTAGTGCACTTTCCATTTCTTCCAACGTGAAAGGCAAGTTATATGCAGATACCCTGTCTTCAGTAAAATCAAGGTGTGTGGTTTCCTCTTCAACTTTCTTGGTTAAAAATTTAGGTGAATAGTTGGAAGAATTTGAGTTATTCTGGAATTCAAGTGCCAAGACATTAACAATCTCTTGATTGTCTGTTATTTCTTTATCATTGATCAACAGGACAGGTGATGGAATAGGGAAGCGTTTTCCCGATAATAATCCAATCTTCTTCCAAATCTCAGAATCGGGAGTAGTTCTAGATATAGTAGATACAAATTCCCTCCAGGACGAGTTCTTACTCATCAGAATCAGTTGACGGGCTTTCGCTCTACATTTTTTAAACTTGATAAGATTAGATAGTGTTGGGCATCTTTTGAATTGGGTAAAAGCTTGTTTTTTCTTCTGTATTGCATGATCAAGTTCGCGGTTCCACCAAGGTACCCTATTGGGACCACGGACTGCACTGGCTGTTTTGGGGATACTACCCTCCGCTGCCTCAATGATGCCATTTGTGATCTCTATTACTGATTCATGTACAGTGCCGTTCATATTGAAAGGATGGTGTTGGTACAAAGACCAATCTGCTTTTTTAATGTTCCATTTACTGTGTCGAACGGGAGGATGACACTTCACAAAGGTTCTAATTAAAATAGGTAAGTGATCAGAGAAGTTATCCTCCAATACCTGCCATTGGAAAAGGTGTGCTATTTGTGGGGAACAGATGGTCAAATCAATGGCGCTTAAATTGCAAGAACGGGTATTTAGATATGTGCCTTCTCCAGTATTCAGTATGACTAGGTTATGTTCTTCAACAAGTTCCTCGATTATTCTGCCTCGGAGATCAATTTTATTGGAACCCCATAGATGATTATGGGAATTGAAGTCGCCCACAAGAAGAAACGGAGAGGGTAGTTGGGATAATAAACTTCTTATTTGGTTCCTATCCCAACTAAAGTCGGGTAAGTAGATGTTACATATCGTGAACTTAAAGGGCAAATGCACTTGTACAGCAACTGACTGCAAGGCTGTTTGTAAGGTTACTTCACTAAAAGGTACGTTATCCTTTATAAATATTGCCACACCTCCCTTAGCCCGAGATTGTGAGGCGGCATCCTTTCGTATATAGTTGTAGTTATGCAGGTTGAACACATCTGTATCACGGAGGTGGGTCTCTTGTAGGCACAAACAGAAAGGAGCTTTATCAACCATTATCGTTTTCAATTCGGGGTAATGTGTCTTAGATCCATTTATATTCCACTGGATTATAGAGTCCATTTAGGGGTTTTTGTTTAAAAGTATATATTGTAGTGTGTCTTGTATCAGCTCCTGACTGTATAAGACGGTTGTGTGAATATAAATAAAATGCGTATTTATCTAAGGACGAATAATAATTTTCAAATACAATGTATAAACAGATAATAACAACAAAAAATGAATATATACATATATATATATATATATACACTATATACAAATACTTTAGAACGTTATAACACAGCTTATGTTGGATCTGATATTTGCTCTAATGATGATTCTATCTGAGAATTCGCAGTTGAGCTTTCTCCAGGTTTGGGTGGCTTACGGCGCTTACCCTTTGGCCAACCCTTTTTCCTTTTAGTTTGACTCAGCTCATCTAGTTGTGATTCAGAAGTATCGGTAAGGCAGACTAGCTCTTCAGTCCGAATATATTGTGTCCTTTTTCTTTTATCTGAAAGTTGTGATGGAGTATCAGAGACAATTGAGGCTGCATCGAGGTCATACTGATCCCGTCGCATAGGCCTTCTTTCTGATGAGGTAGACGGCAGGTATATTGATAAACTGGTCTTAATTACCTCATCTATTGCTTTTTTGACCTGTTGGTCTATAATCTGAGCAATATCTGGGATGAGCTCCTGAATGAATTTCTTAGCCGTAGTATTGTCTGACCCAGAGGCTGTTACTTGGGCATACGTTGTATTAGCAGGCATTGCGGCGTAATACTTTCTTTTAGCTTCAATATAGGAAATTTTGTCTGTTGTTCTAATATTCTGTATGCTGACTTCTTCCTTCATTTTCGGACAGTTCTTTGAATTAGACAAGTGGTCATTCCCACAGTTAACACACTTAAATGGTTCGATGCATTCACTAGGTTGATGTAAATCTTTACCACATAGGCACACTTGTTCATACTTGCATGTTGAGGACATATGTCCAAATTTGTGACATCTGAAGCACCTTACGGGGCTTGGAATAAAGGGGCGTACTGGTAGACAGTAAAATGCAGCTTTTACTGACTTAGGTAACTTGGGTCTGTTAAACGTTAGAATATGATGAGGTGTTTCAACCAATAAGCCATTTCTTTTTTGAACTATCCTTGAAACTTCAACAACTCCTTCAGATCGAAGTTCATCTAGAATTTCCTCAACTGGTACATTCAATAAATCAGGGCAACTAACGACTCCTTTTGAAAAATTTAATGTTCTGTGAGGTGAGACTTTTACATCGAATTCACCAAATTTTTCAAGACGTAACAATTTTCTTCCTTGTGCTGGGGATGATGTTTCGACTACAAGGCCCTGCTTTGTCTTTCTGATACTCTTTAACTCTCCTACTAATCCAAATAATGTTTTGTTTATAAGAAAGGGGTTCATTTTATCAAAATTTCCCCCATCTCCTCTTCCCAACACCAAGAACCGGGGAACAATTTCCGCCTTTTCATGGCTGAAGGGGTCGTCGCATTTGGCGGTTGGTCTGCCTGTTGCCACTCCTGTAGCGCCCACATTTAAGGAGGTGAGCACACCTGTTGAATTTTGTGTAGTTCCCATATGCTCAAAATAAGTATTCGCCTCCCCGGCTCCCCACCCTCCACGGAGCCTCATTGGGAGGTTATGCCCATAATCGCCTTCCGCTAGGACATAACCCCAGGGATACCGTTAATGCTAGGAAAAGGAGGTATAGTCCCCACAGGTAGCTCCACCATACATCGAGCATAGCGAACTATTCCCGTCTGGCTTCTACTACCTGTGGAGGCTCGCCCAACCAGCCCTCTGACGGGATGGCACAGCCGATTGACCGACGCTGGGCTAGGCGCGGCCGCCCTTCTAGACTGACCGCCGGACCAAAGTGGCGTGTTGCCCCCCTGACTGGTAGGGCTCAACCACCAGGATTCCATTGGCCAGCTTACGGGTCGCCGGGCACGGCACAAACACCCGGGAAGCTAAGAGGAAGCCCCACGCGCCGCCTCAACGCATGGAGTAAGGAAAGGACAAGGAAAGTCGGAGGGCAGCGGACAGCTGCACAGGATATAAAAAGGAGAAGGATGGGAGAAAGGGGGAAGGAAAAGCCCAGGGTTTGGCAGAATGAATAAGACTACCAAACCCCGAACTCCCTGCCTGGGGCCGTGGGGGCGACGCTCCCCATGTATCTTCCTTGAAACCGGATCAAATATCCAGCTTCAAAAGTAGATACCCCCTGCGGGGATTATATTATTATATATATTATTATTATTATTATTATTATTTTATTATATTATTATATATTATATATATTATTATATTATTATTATTATTATATTATTATTATTATTATTATTATTATTATTATTATTATTTTTTGTTTTTTTTTTTTTTTTTTTTTTTTTTGACGGCGTCAACTTCTCTGGTTATTAGCCGTACTCAATAATATATAATATAATATAAATCTAAAGTATAAAATATATAATCTCTTACATGTCTAAGTGGTAAGTGTCGCATTTTTAAAAAACTAACTACGCAAATTCCAGATATTAATCGAAAAGGATATACTATTGTCATTTACTTTCAGATTCTATTAGCGACAAAAGATAATTTCTGGAAAATGTTACACGACTAAATTTGTCAGGCATATATTCATTAATATTAATTTTTTTTTTTTTGTGGTCATTATCTGCATTTCACGATCTTGTTTGCGTTCACGTAAGTATGGATTTATCCAAATTCTATTGTTGCATGTTTCTTTTAGTTCAAGATGACAATACTAAGCTAAGGTAGGTATGATGCAAAATCATCGTTACATAACATTCATTTAATCTCAGTTGAGAATAAGATACACAAAAATTAAAATGGTTCATTTCCAAAAAGTTCATTAGGTCAGATCTTCCAATAGAAACCAGATACTTTTAAGAATGATATGACGTTTTTCAGTTTTTCTGGTTGTGTGAGACTCTCTGTCAGGTTATCAAATGGTCCATAGATCACTCGATATTGCGACAATATCGGACATGTGCAGATAATGTGGCGTACAGTGAGTGAAGAGTTACATCCAGTGCACAAGGGCGGATCTGTTCCGAGCAAAAGATGTGCATGTGTAAGACGTGTGTGGCCAAAGCGTAAGCGATGTATGCGCACCCATTCCTCTCGTGGCAGTCTGATAGGATGTGGCCATAATCCTACACTAGGTTTTATCTGTCTTAAGTGGGTATCAGTCTTACCCCATGTAATTTGCCAGTGTCGCTGTATACGGTTTATGAGGTACTTTTTATGATCAGACATTTTTATTTCAGGGATGTCGATGTTTTGTTGCGCTGCTGCTTTCGCTGCCATATCAGCAGCTTCATTCCCCTGTATACCAACGTGTCCTGGCAACCACAGAAATTTTACGTTTACCCCTTTATTTAAGAGATGTTTGACAGTTTCAAGACACATCACAGTTAAGGAATCTCGAGATGCATAGTTCATTAGGCCTTGAAGTGCTGAGAGCGAGTCACTAGCTATAATAGCTGTTGTTATGTTATTCGACATGTCACAGTATCGTAGGGCCTGCCAAATAGCATATTGTTCAGCAGTAAATATGGATGCTATTGGTGATAGTGTCCATTGATGTGCAGTTTGATCGACTACTATAGCACAGCCGACACCACTGTCAGTTCGCGATCCATCTGTATAGATAACTGTTGCTGCTGCCGGATATCTAGAAACGATTTCCATAAAACGTGATTTTATGAGTTCAGATGGATGGTCATTCTTAGATAGTGCAGTCAGCTCGAGATTCACATTTATTTTGGGTGACAGCCATGGAGGAGATTCTCTGTGTTTAACATTATAGATAGGGTTACATGATATACCAATTTCCTCGGCATATTCTTTAACTCGGACTCTGAGAGATCTTGTTATTGTGGGGCGACAGATGTAGCTCTCATCCGTACTGAAAATGATAGAAAAGTTTCTATGGAATGGTCGTGTTTGAATCTGTGCAGAATACGATAGTGCAAGTTCTTTACGTCTAATGGATAGAGGTTCAACTCCGGATTCGCAATAGAGGCTAGCTGCTGGAGTTGTACGAAATGCTCCAAGGCAGAGACGTAATGCTTGGTTGTGAACTGTATCAAGTTTTTTAAGCAGTGACGGTCTTGCAGATGAGTAAACAATGCTACCGTAGTCAAGCTTAGATAGAATGATGCTCTTGTATATCCGCAACAGCATCTCAGCTTCTGCTCCGAATCGTGTTGACGACAGGCATTTTATTAGGTTTAGGGCTCTCTTGCACCTGTTGGTAAGATCCTCAATGTGTTCTCTCCATGTCAGTTTACTGTCGAGTGTTAGGCCTAAGAATTTTACAGAAGACACACAGGGTATGCGTTCATTGTTGAGACAGAGGCGTGGATCATAGTGTGGTCGTCTAAGCCTACAGAAATGAAAATTATTATTATTATTATTATTATTTTATTTATTATTATTATTATTAATTATTATTATTATTATTATTATATATTATTATTTATTATTTTTTTTTTTTTTTTTTTTCCCACGGCTTCGACTGATGATGTCATTTGCCGTATCCCTCCTCCACATATAGGACATGTCATTGTCACCCAGGGGTAGATCTGAGTGCATTTTATCACAGGTAATATCAATCATCAATATATATTTAAAGTCTCAATATATTTAATAGGTGGGTTCTTTTCTCACTTTTCAAGTATCACACAGTGTGTGTCTTGGATACTGAATTATATGTTAAGTACTCATCGAGTAGAGAATAGTAGGTAACTGGCATGTACGTTTATTATGCATTATATGTCACATGGTTTTAGTTATTGGTTTATTTGTATAAGCTATTTTATGGAATATCTTATTCAGGGTTTAATAAGTGTATCATCTTACATGTTTATATTTTCAGGAAAACTTGTATTTCTCTTAAGAAGTTAAGGATGTTTATCATGCTACCGGCGTCATTGCCACAGAGCCCACGTTGTAGGCTGTTAATAATGTCAAACGATTGGCGGACTCTAGAATATGTTGGGCATTCCAAGAATATGTGGTCAATTGTTAGCTGAGTTTGGCAGTTTTCGCATTGCGGTGGATCCAGGCCGCGAATGAGATGCATGTGTGTTATGTTGCAATGGCCTATGCGTAATCGTGTAAGCGTCACCTCTTCTCTTCGTGGTAGTGATGGGAGGTGCCATTTTTTAACTGTAGGTTTGTATCTTTTGAGGGTAGTTTCGCATCCATTCCATCTCTCTTGCCATACAGACATCAACTTATTCTTCAGAAAATTTTTCAGGTCTTCCGGGTGGACCAGGTTGTTGGCGTTGACAGTATCGGTTGCTGCTTCACGGGCCAATTCGTTAGCCCTTTCATTACCTGGAATCCCTACATGACCTGGAGACCATATAAAGATAACATATTTCCGATCTGATTCCAGTAAGACAAGCCAATGAAGTATTTCTTGAACCAATGGGTCAAAGGAATTTGTGGCAGATATAGATTGAATGGCACTAAAGGAATCGCTGCAGATTAGGTAAGTACCTGCTTCATTGTGGTTATTTATATATTCCAGTGCTTTAAGCAATGCAAGTTGCTCGGCTCTGAAAACCGAGGTCATGGGATGTAGTTTAAATTTTTGCTCGTGTCCCGTTGATGTATAGGCACATCCAACGCTATCAGCTAACTTTGATCCATCAGTATATATAATTTTTAACGTTTGTGTAACTATTTACAGTGTCATTAAACAATGCAAGAAATAAGGAGCTATTGGTTTCATCCTTCTTGTACCGTGCACACTGCAAGTCCAATACAGGTTTGTTTATTGTCCATGGTGGCGTTGAGCTATGTTTTAGATTATAAACGTCAGGAAGTTCGAGGTCGATGCTATTCAAAATTTCTTGAATCCTTACACCTGAAGGTCGTGTTATGGTAGGTCTGTCCAGGAAGGTTTGGTTGATTGCTTGGTCGTATAGGATGTTGTAGTTGGGATGAGGTGGGTGTGACCAAATCTTTACACTATAATTCATAGTCAACTGCTGGAGCCTTATATCAAGAGGAGGAATACCTGAATCGCAGTATACCGCTGACGAGGGACTTGTTCGAAAAGCTCCGATACATAATCGCAGACATTGGTTATGTATCTGTTCCAAGTGTCGTAGATGAGATTTCCTTGCGGCTCCATAGATGATTAATCCATACTCGATTTTAGACAGAACAAGTGACCGATATAACGAGAGAAGGGTATCCCTGTCAGCACCCCAGTTTATGTTCGATATGCATTTCAAGATGTTCATAGACTTTTTGCATTTCACCATCAGATTATTGACGTGTTCTTTCCAATACAGCTTTCTGTCGAAAGTTAGCCCCAAAAGCTTAACAGTATCATCGATCTGTATTGCGGTGTTTCTCAGTAGCAGGTGAGGATGATTGTGAGCAGTTCGTAGCCGACAAAAATGAATGGCGGTGGTTTTTGATGCTGAGAAGCGGAAACCAATACTTTGAGCTTCTGTAACTAGGCTGTTTATTGCTGCTTGGAGTTTAATCTCGATGTTCGACATATCTTTGTCCGAGTAGAAGATCGTGAGGTCGTCTACGTATAAACATTTTCCAATGTCTGGATCTATTGTACCTATAAGACGGTTTATAGCTATCAGGAATAGCGTTACGCTGATGGTGGAACCCTGAGGTATACCGTTCTCGAGAGTATGCGGCTGAGAGAGGTGTTTGCCGAGCCGGACTTTGAATGTTCGGTTTTCTAGGAACTTGGAAATGAATTTGAGCATATTACCTCGTATACCCCATTCATGTAAGGTGTTGAGTATTCCTCGTCTCCATGTTGTGTCATAAGCTTTTTCTAAGTCAAAGCAAACAGATACCAAATGTTTTCTTTCGGCAAAGGATTGTTGAATAGCCGTGTCTATATGAGCCAATTGATCTAAAGTGGATCTAAACTTTCGGAAACCCATCTGGTAATCCGAAAGTAGACCGTTCGTTTCTAAAAACCAGACCAGTCTTCTATTAATCATCTTTTCGAGGAGTTTACTAATGCAACTAGTGAGTGATATGGGTCGGTAGTTGCTAGGGTTTTTAGGGTCCTTTCCAATTTTTGGAATAGCCACTATGATGGCTTCATGCCATTGCTCAGGGTATATGCCTTCACTCCAAATACGGTTGAATAGTTCCAGGAGTGTAAGCTGTTCGCTTTCAGGAAGATGCTTAAGCATGTCGTAGTGGATGTTGTCTGAACCAGTTGATGAAGAATTAACCTCGTTAAGAGCGTTTTGCAGTTCTAGCAATGTAAAAGGTACGTTGTATACCAATAACGAGTCATCAACTATTTCCAATATATTTTTTTCAGCCTTAGTCTTTTTAGCTACGAAGGCAAGATTATAGCTATCCGAACTGCTTGTCTCTTGGAATTGTGTAGCTAATATATTACAAATGTCTTCATAGTTTGTAATTTCTATATTGTTGACTAGCAGTATAGGGGATGGAGCTTGGAAATGCTTTCCTTGAATACTTCTGATTTTGTGCCAGACTTCCGATGGTGGTGTTTCTTTAGATATATGTGACACGTATTCTTGCCATGATGATTTTTTACTTTTTAAAATTATGCGACGAGCTTCCGCTCTTCTTTTCTTGAATTCAATTAAGTTGTTAGTAGAGAAGTTGCGTTTGAATTCTCTTAAGGCCTTATTTTTTTCTTTGACTGCTTTTCCAATCTTATCGTTCCACCATGGCACTTGCACATTTTTGATGTTACCACTTTTTTTGGGAATACTGAGGTTCGCTGCACTAACTATGGCAGATGTTATAGACTGCACCGAGTCGTGTATGTTATCCTTTAAAAGGAGTTCACCAATATTATTTTGTAAGTATCCCAATTGGCTTTCTTGATGTTCCAGGTTGTATGGAATGTTCTTTCTGGACATTTTGAAGCAAAAGTTATATTTATTGGCACATGGTCGGAGTACAGATGTTCAGGCATAGTTTTCCATTCCAAGGATGATGCCAGACTTGGTGAGCAGATGGACAGATCGATACTACTAAAGCAGTTAGACCTGGAGTTGAGGTAAGTTCCATCTCCTGTATTTAAAATAATCAACTCTGATTCTTCGCAGATTCTTTCGATTATACGACCTCGAACATCAAGTTGTTGTGATCCCCATAGAGGATTGTGTGCATTAAAGTCGCCCACTATGATATATGGAGTAGGCAGTTGAGTAATTATGTTATTAATCTGCTCTTCATTCCAATTGAAATCTGGTAAGTATATATTACATATTGTTATTTTAAATGGAAAAAGCGATTGTGCTGCTACCGCCTGTAGTGGGGTTTGAATGTGTACCTCAGTTGCCTGTAATTCACTTTTTATGAAAATTGCCACGCCTCCTTTAGATCGGTTTGTCGGGATTACGTCTTTCCTGAAACAGTTGAAGCCCCGCAGGTTGAAGTTGGTTTCAGGAGAAAAATGAGTTTCCTGGATACATATGCAAAAGGGTGCCACTTCCGAGACTATCAATTTTAGTTCAGGGTAGTGTGCACAGCATCCGTTCATGTTCCATTGTATTAGTGAAGACATTATGACTAGTTTGTTAAAAGAAACAGTTCGTTAGTTTGTAGTGGAGCTCAAAAGGGGCATATATATACTCGTGGAATAGATAAATAAATAAGCTAATAAATAAATGAATAAATAAATAAATAGCTTAATAAGTAAAATATATAAATAGTCTATAGAAAAAAAAAATAATAGTAGTATAAATAAGATCAGATGTACTCACATATACACACATACATACATACACATACGAACGTAAATATATAATAAAATTTATGTAGAAAATATCACAGGTGGCTATATCTCAATGGTAAGGTCAGTAATTTGACTGGCTTCAGTTTCTTGATCACTTCTTGCGGAGTTGGGAGGCCGCCTGGGTTTCCCTTTCGGCCAGCCTCTTTTCTTTTTAGTAGAAGTTGATGCTTCACTGATATGTGATGATACACTTTCATCGGTATCATCGTCCCTTGTTCGGGTTCTGGTACGCTTCCTTTTTTCGGCTACAGAAGGTTGCGTAGATGTATCAGAAAAATATTGACCGGGAGGTAAGAAGGAATTAGTATTAAAATTATGCTTCTTGGTACTGATTATGTTATCCAGGGTTTCTTTTATTTTACTCTCAATAGACTTAGTTAATTGCGGTAATAACTCTTGTATTATATTATTAATTGACGTACTTGTGGTCGCCGCAATTTCGGAGTAGGATTTTTGAGGAATGGGCCTGATTACTTTTTTCTTTGCTTCTAGATAGCTCAGTTTTTCCATAGTCCTAACTTTTTGAATCGCTATTTCCTCCTTCATCTTAGGGCAAGCTCTTGAATTGGCTGCGTGTTCACCTTCACAATTAACGCAATGCATAGGTGTGTCGCAAGGTGTTGTATCATGTTTGGGTCGTCCGCATATACATATCTCAGAATTTGAGCATCTTTGCGAAGTATGCCCAAACCTCTGACATTTAAAACATCTTAGGGGGTTTGGGAAATAAGGACGCACTTCGAGAGAGTAAAAGGCAGCTTTAACTTTTGAGGGTAGTTTAGGTTTGTCGAAAGTCAATAATAAGTTAGGCGTTTCGACAAGTGAGTCACCTTGTTTACGCATCAAACGTTTAACTTCGACCACACCTTCTGGTTCTAAACCCTCCAATATTTCTTCGGTAGAACTGTTAAGAAAATCTGCACATGTGATTATACCCTTTGAGTAATTGAGTGTACTATGTGGTTTTATTTCAACAATGAATTCGCCTATTTTAGTCACTTTAAGGAGTCTAGACGCTTGATGAGCGGTAACAGTTTCCACTAATAATCCGGTCTTAATTTTCTTAATTGATTTCAATTCGCCAACAATTCCAAATAACAATTTCGACAGCAAGAAGGGGCTAACCTTATCGAAGTTGCCCCCATCGATTCTTTCGACCACCAGGAACCGGGGGATGTTTCCCTCCTTTCCCTGGCTGATCTTGGCCGCTGACGCGGTTGAAATCCCAGTTTTAGGGGTGTTTTGGGTTTTTGCGAGTGAATCCCGATCACTGCCCACTTTTAAGGTAGTGGGTGCACCTGAATCTTGTTTAGGCTGTTCCATAAGATTTTCCAAAAATTTCACCTTCCCGGCTCCCCACCCTCCACGGAGCCTCATTGGGAGGTTATGCCCATAATAGCATCCCGCTAAGGCACAACCCCAGGGATACCGCTAATCCGAAGGAAAGGAAGGTATAGTCCCCCCAGGTAGTTCCACCATACATCGAGAATAGCGAACTATTCCCGTCTGGCTTCTACTACCTGTGGAGGCTCGCCCAACCAGCCCTCTGACGGGATGGCACAGCCGATTGACCGACGCTGGGCTAGGCGCGGCCGCCCTTCTAGACTGACCGCCGGACCAAAGTGGCGTGTTGCCCCCCTGACTGGTAGGGCTCAACCACCAGGATTCCATTGGCCAGCTTACGGGTCGCCGGGCACGGCACAAACACCCGGGAGGCTAAGAGGAAGCTCCACGCGCCGCCTCAACGCATGGGGTAAGGATAGGAGAAGGAAAGTCGGGAGAGCAACAGACAGCTGCACAGGATATAATAAAAGGAGAAAGGATGGGAGAACGAGGGGGGGATAAGCCCAGGGTTTGGCAGAATGAATAAGACTGCCAAACCCCGAACTCCCTGCCTGGGGCCGTGGGGGCGACGCTCCCCATGTATCTTCCTTTGAAACCGGATCAAAGATCCAGCTCCAAAAGTAGATACCCCCTGCGGGGTATTATATTATATTATTATTATTATATTATATTATTATTATTATTATTTTTTTTTTTTTTTTTTTTTTTTTTTTTTTGCTCATAGTCCTCACGTATGGTGGTGTACTATCTTTGAGGGGGAGTTCACCCCAACCAAGGATAGTTTTTACAGAGACAGTGCCTTTCTCACAATATGACACGTTTGTAAGATAACGGCTTTTTGGAATAGTATGTGAAGGCCGTTTGGAAGGTCCAAGGTCTTTAAGCTTGAGGAGACTTGTTTGGTAACAGCCCCTTCCACGGAGATAACAATGGGTACAATCTGCACTTCCCTTAGCTTCCAAATCCTCTTCATTTCAATCGCCAGGTTCTGGTATTTAACAGATTTTTCACGCTCTACCTTGAGGATGTTGTGTGTAAGAGGAATTCCAACCTCAATTATCTGTGCATATTGGTTGCTTTTGTCTATCAGGACAATATCGGGACGGTTAAAGTCTACAGTTTTGTCGGTTAGAAATGGCCGATCCCAATAGAGTATTACATCTTTTGATTCCAGAACTGGCTCAGGCGTGTACTTGTAATATGGCGGAGGAGATTGTACCAAGTTAAGTTTACGAGCTAGCTGTGAATGGATTATTTTTGCAACCTGGTTGTGTCTTCCCAAATAATCGCCAGCTGCCAACGCAGGGCAAGCTCCAGTAATATGTTCGATGGTTTTGCCCGCCTGGTTGCACTTCCTACATTCATCTGGGACGTTGGATTTGAGAATATGTTTTTCATAGTTTTTTGTTTTTATTACTTTGTCCTGGATGGCAGTTATGAACCCTTCCGTTGTTGGATGGAGATATCCCTTTCTCAAATAGGTGAATGACAAAGGTTTATCTATGTTGTCACCTCTCAGTTGGCATGGGTAACGGCCATGGAGAATTTCTCCTCCCAGCATTCTCTCCTCCTAGTATTCGATTCCGAGGCCGTATTTGCTTGAGGTTGCCGAAAGCTCAAAGGGGTAAATGAGTCATCTGCCTCCACTACAGCAGCTATCTTAGGACTTAGATGGTTATTAAAGTAATTTTGTAATTTGGCTATCTGAGACTTGCAGAGTTGTGTTATGTTGAGCAATCCGCGGCCCCCTTGTGCGCGAGGGAGGTACAGCCGTTCGGTTGATGCCTTTGGGTGGTGACAATGGAACTTTGTGAGCTTTACACGAGTGATTCTGTCTAGCTCTTCAAGGTCTGTATTACTACTCCATTTCACAATACCGAACGAATATGTAAGTGAACTTATTGCCCAACTGTTGATTGCTTTGAAAAGATTCTGCGAGTTTAATTTGGTGTTGAGTAGTTTTGTAAGCCGACGGATGTACTTTTCTCTATAGATTGACTTCATGGTAGAATGACACACACCCCTACTTTGGTGCATCCCCAGGTACTTATACGGTTGGTCTTCTGCTAGAGGCGCGATGTTTTCTAAATTTTCTTCCAAAGGAGTTAGGTTACCTTTCCTTATAGTGACAGTGGCGCACTTATCTAACCCAAATTTCATTCCTATATCATTGCTGAATATACTTGTCGTTCGCACTAGAGAAGCAAGATGTTGCCTTGACTCGGCGTATAGTTTGAGGTCATCCATATAGCAGATGGTTGAATCTGGTAGGCTCACTCACATCGAGCCTATACCCGAACTTGGAATTATTCAGCAGTGATGACAGTGGGTTCAGGGCTAGACAGAACCACATCGGGCTAAGAGAATCACCCTGAAATATGCCTCTGCGTATGCGCACGTCTCCTATGTCCTCCGAATTAACTCTTAAAGAGGTTCCCCAGTTTATCATCAGATGGGACAATAGGTTTATGATGCGGATGTCTACTTTATATATATCCAGCACCTTTAAAAGCCAATTATGTGGCACGGAATCAAACGCCTTAGAGTAGTCGATGTAGCAGACATGGAGATTTCTCTTATTTTTACACGCATGCTTCGTAATAACGGAATCAATTATAAGTTTTATATTTTATTATTATTATTATTATTATTATTATTATATTATTATTATTATTATTATTATATTGTTCATTCAATCATCTCCTCTGAGAGGGTTTGATATGCTTAATCCAGGTTTGCACCAGAGGATGTAAGCATTTTGAAGGCAACTACCAATTTTGCAGGTTACAATGTCGAGTTTTCGCCTGCCAGGACCCTACGGACTGTTCTGCATGTCCCCAGTAAAGCGGCTTTCTGAATTTTTTTGTAAACATGTTGGTCAAGGTCTAACTTTTCAAGACTTGTGTGTAACTTCTTAAGGACCTCACCTGTTGCGCCAATAACTATCGGTACAATCGTAACTGTATTCATTCCCCACATCCGCTTTATTTCTTCTGACAGTGGTAGATACTTGTTGATTTTTTCTGAGTAGGTACTTTGAAGGTTGACAGGGAGCGGAACCGCGATATCTATAATGTATGTTATCTTTTGCTCTTTTAACGTTAGCACTATGTCAGGGATGTTATTTGGTATTGTGCGGTCTGTGATTATTTTCCTGTTCCAATACATTTTGTGTGACCCAGTCTCTTTAACTGGGAGGGGCGTGTAGCGATAGTATGGCTCAGTAGGTCCTTCATTGAGATAGCGTTTGACCAGTTCCAAGTAGATTATTTTTGCCACGTCGTTATGTCTTTCTAGATACTGTTTTGGGGCGAGTGTGGAACAGCTTGCGATAATGTGGTCTAGGTTCTCGTCTTTACCTCCACAGATTCTACATTTGATATTGTCTATATTTCTCCATTATTCGCTTTCTGTAGACTTTCGTAGGCAGCACTTGGTCTTGAATAGCCATCACAAACCCCTCTGTCTCCACGAACAGATTACTGGAACGCACCCACTCTTGGGATGCTTTGGTGTCTACTGCCTGGTCTTCAATTCGCGTTCTATAGCGTCCATGTAGTGGCTTGGATTTCCACTTCTCGATCAGTTCGGGGGGTGATGACACCATCGCGGATGGATTGAGAGCTAGGTTGGCTAGGTTCAGTGGGGTAATGCCCTTATCTCTGTTGGCTAGTGCCTGATGCATTCTGCTACTACTCGCCTTTTCCAAGAAGTATGTCCTTAGATTATCAATTTGCTGGTAATGTCTGGACACCATACTGGGGATTCCTCTTCCTCCTTCGCGCCGTGCTAAGTGGAAGCGCTCTATTGCACTTTTAGGATGATGCGCCCTATACCGACGGAATTCTTTCCTGGTACTTATATCTAGGGCTTTCAGCTCAGTATCAGTCCATTTGAGTATACCGAAGGTGTAGGTAAGCGTTGACGCTGCGTAGGCGTTCACTGCAACAGACGTATTTATAGCAGACAATTCTGATTTAAGAATGATCCTTAATCTTCTCAAGTATTCGTCGGTAGATCTTTGCTTCGACATTTTTTGGTCTATGTCTGGTGCCTGGAGGTAGCCTAAGTATTTGTAGCGTTCATCCCTTTGCATATTGATGATCTCCCCTTGCGACCCTCTTACTTTATACCCTTCATGCTCTGTCCACTTACCTTTAGTCATGCAACTTATGCGGCATTTATCTAAACCAAACGTCATTTGCACATCTTTGCTAAATCTGCTCACACAATCCAACAGCGCATGTAGGTGATCCTTCTTCTCTGCAAATAATTTCAGATCATCCATATACCAAAGATGAGATAGTTGTGTACCATCCTCGGCAATCTTTACGCCTTTTTCTTGACTGTTTAACAGCGATGTTAGTGGGCGTAAAGCTAGGCAAAACCATATCGGGCTTAGAGAGTCGCCCTGAAAGATCCCTCGTTTTATACTGACTTCTCCAGCATCTATCTGCGAGTCTGGGGTGTTAAGACAGAGACGCGTTTTCCATTTGGACATTGCATAGGTCAATAGTTTCACGATATGGTTTTCTATGCCATAAAGGTGTAGCACTTCCGTTAACCATGAATGTGGAATACTATCAAATGCTTTCTGATAATCGATGTATGCAGTGAACAAGGGCGACTTCTTTTTTCTGGCACTACCCGTTATTATTTCATCGATTATCAGTTGTTCTTTACATCCTCTTGAGCCCTTCCGACATCCCTTCTGTTCCTCATCCAATAAGTTGTTACGTTCCAAATGATTATGCACTTTGTCAGCCAATATAGCAGTAAGCAGTTTATACGCTGTAGAAAGGCAAGTAATTGGCCTGTATTTTGCGGGATCAGCAGTATATTGTTCAGTTTTTGGGATCAGGTATGTAACTCCTGTTGTTAGAAATTCTGGGATAGTTTCCGGCCTCTCGAGGAATGTTGAGTAGCATTTCGCAAGTTGTTGGTGGGTGGAAGTAAATGCCTTTATCCAGTAATTGTGAACACCATCTGGCCCTGGAGCTCTCCAATTGGAAGTCCTACGTATTGCTTTCACTACATCATCCTTAGTTATGGTCCAAGACAGCATTGCTTGTATGGAAGTTCTAGCCTTCTCTTGCTGATACCAATGCGCTGTTCTGTGTTCTCTGGGGTTGCTCCATATACCGCTCCAGAAGTGTCTTATGTCTTCTGTGTTAGGAAATGATGTTTTTCCTTGTAGTATACGATCTGATTCTTTGCCCACAGATTTATAAAATGCTCTCTGATTTCTATGAAATAGGATGTTTTGTTTACGACGTTGGCTGCTCTTCTTATATCTCTTCACTCTTTGAGATAAGGCTAATAGTCTCTGCTTTAGAAGGTCCAAAACTTCGACTATGGTTGGGTTTTCTTCCGATGTATATCGTCGCATTATTGTGTCCCCTTTCTTTTCACTCTTTGGCTGTATGTCGGTTATTATTATTATTATTATTATTATTATTATTATTATATTATTATTATTATTATTATTATTATTATTATGATATTATTATATTATTTTATTTTATTATTATTATTATTATTATTATTATTATTATTATTATTATATTTTATATATTATATTATTATTATTATTTTATTATTATTATATATTATTATATTATTATTATTATTATTATTATTATTATTTTATACTATTTTACTCCTCTGTCGAAGGTATTAATATTTCCCTCAGGCGGTTAGCCAAAGTAAGGAAATAGATCTGCAGCGGTCTTTTCACCGTATCCGGTTCTCATCTCCTAAAACCCTACGTACTGTCCTACATGTTCCCAGCAGTGCAGCTTTTTGCAGTTGCAAGTATATTTTTGGATGGAGCTGTAGCTTTTCCAGACTCTTGTGTAGTTTCCTTGGTATCTCTCCAGTAGCTCCTATTATAACTGGTATTATAGACACATTGCCCATTTCCCACATGCGTTTGATTTCGTCGGAGAGTGGCAAATACTATTGATTTTTTCCGCATGGGTGGTTTGGATATTAGTGGAAGAGGCACAGCTATGTCTATTATAAACGTCGTTCTTTCTTCTTTTAGTGTGAGCACTATGTCAGGAA